GTTAAGTATTTTACTGTTTAAAAGAGACATCTATTATCAATGGTGAACATCTAGAAGTTTATTTACAACTCTGTTGGGAAATTTGGTGCTAGGCAAATTCGTCGCAGACATTCAGTCGCCGATCTTTTCATCGCATTACTTTTGTCGCACGATTTGTTTTAACATAATTTTTGAAATATAAAAGGAACATGAAAGAAAATTAAATCAAAGACATAGTTTATGATAAGAAACGGTTTTATTATCAAGCTGCCATTTTTCTTCTAATCAAGATTGATCATTGAATAAAGCATACAGTTTATCAGCAAAGCGCATTAAAGCATCTATTTCACTCTATTGTTTGTCCTCTTCATCTGATGCGATAAATTGTTCCGTGAGACAAAAAAATTATGTTAAAATAAATCTTGCAACAAAAGTGACGCGACTAAATGTCCGTGCAACTAAACGACCATGACGAAATGTCCGCGACGAAAAGACCTGCGCCGAATTCACCAGTTACATACGACCTAGTTTTCCAACTATCTCCTAAAAAACCTGTTTCACAAAAATTCGTCTAAAAACAACTTTGATTATGCAACCTTCGTCCAAGTCTGTTCCTTCGAACGGCGAAAATCTGAGTTCTCTAGGTTTTTTCTATCAAATGTTATTCAAAATATAGCCGCGATTCTTATATTTTGAAGTGGATAGCAGTTAGTCAGAATCTTCAAAAGGAGTTGAGAATTCAGACCAAAGCTTTTCACGTTAATTTTCTACTATTTTTCCATATTTCTCTTTACTGTTTCATAGAAAGTGTGTTCAGGTTCTACTATGCTGTACAAATGGTACTACAGCTGATAAACATTCATAAAGAGTTAATGCAATCGAACACAATGTTCAAGTTGAACTTAGAAAGCGTTCCATGCTTTGTACTTCAAATATGAATTGTGACATATAAAGATTCTGAGATGTTCTCCTAAGTAGGTTTCTGCTTCAGATCGGTCTTACTGAGCCATGCATTGAAAGTTAGGGTCGGAGTTCGTTCGTCAAGAGGTCTGCATAAGACCGAAAACCATAAAAATCAGTATTAGCTCCAGCGATAAAAATTCAAAATCTTCAATTATTTGATCCCCTGCACCAGCCTTGATAGGCCGCCGTATTTATTTGCTTTTTTTCTCTTGTAATATGCTTTTTATGTACTAGTCACTGATGTTAGCCCAATTTTTACTGAGTTGTAAGATTTTCAGTTTTCTCAATCTTACAACTCAGTCAAAAGACGTAGACTCTGTTAAACCTCTCTGTTGACAAAGGTAAACTGGGTGTAATCATAAGTTACCAGCTTTTGCGTCTGCTTGGTCGTGAAAATCTTCGTGTGTGATCTTTTGAATCCAAGAGGATTGTTGTTTATCCTCTTCGATGTGGAAGTTCAATGCTTCGATAAGTTCATCTTTTAATTCTTTCAAGTCATCCATCCACTTGCTGAGATCTCTTTCATCATAACCTTCGTCGTCCCTACCTTTACGAACTCTGTTTGTTATTTTGCTAAATCTACCAATAAGCTGGTCCTTGTTTTTATGTAGCGATTTAACAACGTCACTCCGACATTGATCAGCGAGTTGATTAATTTTATCGATAGAATCTTTTTTCCATTGATCAATTTGTCGAGTTGTTTTGACAAATCTTGACAATGATCTTTGAAACAGTCATCGCATGTGGATTAAAATAAGGATTCTTATCCTTGAAAATGATTTTAACATAAATCAAAACGCCAAACATTAACATCAAACAAGATGATTCAAACCGTTACTTTCGTCAAGTTTTGCATGAGTAGAAAAGAGTGAAGTATGCTTCAGCTTTTTCATACTGAATGCACATCTGACCTCAAATTAATGTCTTGCAACATACGAAATCACAAGGTAGTAAAAAGTAATAGTTTGTTAACAGTATGTGAAGAAGCAGCCCATTATTAGATGAAAAATAGTAAAAAATTCTTTAACTATTTACGAATTCGCTTCTGTTTGTGTTCAATGATTATTTGAAAAATATGTGGTAGAAACAGGCTGTTTTATCTTCGAATTTGCATTTTCCTATTATCGATGAAAAATTAAACTCTTGTTAGACTGTATAACATAGGACTCCTCAGTTATCAAAAAATCGGATAATGAACTATATGCATCACTGATTCATGTTGAAAGGAATTAAGAAAAGATCAATGTTTTCCCGTGGTTGATCTGGAAAGTAGTGAAAGTATTTTTGTTTTTTATCTTTACTATGTTAAATACAGTTGAAAACGTGATGATATCACAACATGAAAAGTAGTTTGAAGAACCCCTTTTCATCTACCTTCCTCATAGCTTGTAGCTACTTGAGTAAACTACAGTCAGAAAATAGAATGTCTCTAACATTGTTCCGTCTACGGAGAGATAAAACAATTTCTGCTTGTATAATAAGAATTGTATGAGATTTATTTATGTTTTTCAGCCTACATCTAGGTTAGAATCAAGTTTACCTAATGAACTATATCAATTGATTTTTCTCTACTTAAAGTCGAGTGATATTGTTTACTCATTTTTCAATTTAAATAATCGATTTGATTGTCTTATTTATCCATTTACATGTGCGATTGATTTATCCAATCTTGATGATCGTTTACTTCATATTTATTCCCATTGTATTTTACCTAAAATTCGACACAATATAAAAACAATTAAATTAGAGGATAAGCATATCGATAATATATTTTTATCAAACAATTATTATCTAAATCTCAAATCATTAGTATTTTTAAGAACTAATAAAAAATATGACAAATATTCTTCATCATTCTCCCCGAAAACTCAGTCGAATTGAGGTAAAAAGGTCATATTCGGAATCAGCACACTTTTTCCTATCCGAATATGTGTTTTTCTGTGAGGTTCTAC